CGCGATAGTATAAATAGCCAATGTACCCAGAACAGAAAGAGAGACAAGAAAATTAATAAAATACTGACTTTGCGAAACCCAATTGCTTATACCAGTGCAATGATAATTAATAAACTTATCTTATTTGTTATTTAGTCATCCTAGAAAGGATCTGCTGCCCTATAGCTTGACAGGGGAGAGATCAGAAGAGAAGACTAATTAAACTTAGAGGAAAATTAGGATAATTATCACCACATGTACCTTTGGTATCGCCAGCGACATAGACCCTTCCCACAATGTGATACGAGTCTCCACCTGGAGTAGTGACAGACTCGCTGTTGAGGATAACAATAGTAATATATAAAATTTTTTAAAAAATTTTTAAATATTAAAAACTATATTATAATTTTATAAATATTAATCTAAAAAATATTATAAATCTTTTATTATTAATAAATAGTTTTAATTAAACTATTTTTTTAATAGTAATTAGTAATATTATTTAAATATTATATTTATTTTTTTTAAATATTACTGTATGTTTTAAAAATATATGATTTTATATTATTTATTATAAAAAACATGAAAACATATTGTTATATATTATTTCTATTTTGAAAAAAATATGAATAAAAATTTAATAGGATAAAAATATTTTATATAAAAATATAATAATTTTACACAGAAAAAATAAAAAATAAAATCTCATAAACTTTTATAAAAATATAATAATTTTACACATAGAAAAAATAAAAAATAAAATCTCATAAACATTTATAAAAATATAATAATTTTACACATAGAAAAAAGAAAAAATAAAATCTTATAAACATTTATAAAAATATAATAATTTTACACATAGAAAAAAGAAAAAATAAAATCTTATAAACTTTTATACAAATATTATCAATAATGAAAAGTGTTTTATTTTTTATAAAAAATTCATTATAATAAAAATTTCCATCTTTAAAAATTTATTTATTAATCAGATTATATATGCATTATTATAAAGTTAACATACCGTATATATTTTTTTGATAAAAATATTAAATGACTTGATTTTTCAGCACATGATTTATCTTAAGGAGTTATTCATAGTGATTCGTTCGATTTATATAAAGATAAATTTTCAGAATTTGTTAATACTGTGGTTACGAAAGTAAAAAGAATTGAAAGAGAATTGTGATAAGGAAAACCTTTGATTTGATTCTTTAAAACCTTAAAACCTTTTAATATTAAAATTAATATTAATATAATTAACCTTTTTAGCCTAGTGTTATGTTTTAAATGCAAATCTTAAGCAAAAGAATTTTGCACGCAAGTGATAATAAGATTATACAGTACGTAACTGTACTGTATCATGAAATACTGTAAATGGAATACTGTATCGGTATCAGTTAACTTAATGTACAGTATACAGTAAATATTGATCGGAATCGACTCCGATCACGTAGCATGGCGATCGCGGATCCCATAAATTCCTAACTTGTGATGAGTTTGTGATTGAGAATATAGGAATATTAAAGAAAGGATACGTCGGATCAAATTTATTCCACGCCTCAGAAACTCCATAGCCCTAACATATACTGTATATTAATTACGTGTTCTCGGAATCCGATGATCATCGTTACTAATTCTAGGAAATTGCGTGACTAGTCAATTATCGAGAGTTGACCCGTTGTTTTGCATATAGTTTATCATACATGATACATATAAAAATGTCACATCCGTTCAGCAGACTTTTATTCGGTTTATAAATTTTTGAATTGCGTACTGTAAATTTAAGAAAAAAAGCAAAAAAATTTTCGCTTTCTTGGTAGATAATCAATGTCCAAAGAAGTTTTAAATCTTTTGTTTTCGCAACCCGCTCATGATGATATACATATTCAGGTTGACAACGTGGATCCTCAACAACCCATTTATTGCATAAGTTTAAGGCGTTCAAATTTAAGTTTAAACGATAACTTGACGAAACTTAGAAGAAGGCTTGAGATGGATGACAATATAAGAATGACAGATGGGATGTTCTTTAAGAAAGAAATGGCAGTCATTAACATTTTGGAAGAAAGCTCAAGAAGTTTAAATGATATCATTGATAAATCCTATAGGATTCATATTATCAAGAGCTTAATTCCAAATTGGAGGGATTTGGCTACAAAATCCAAACTAGGATATGGACGCACTTTGACTTTCAATGAAATAAATGTAGCAGAAGAAAAGGCTTTTAACATCAAAGACTGCGAGTTTGTACTACATGAGCCTAGCATTGTGGAGGGTGAAGATATAATTAATTCTTCTATCAAAGAAGTTATTCAGTTTAATAATTTAATGCTTAAGGCCGAAAAAAGTATCTCTCCTTTTCTTATGGCAGGATTTTCTGTAGACATTTTGAGACATCAGGGCAATCGAGTAGAAACTTCTGACAACATTAAATATGTAAAATACAATCAAGCAACATTGACTCTGAAACTAGAACATATTGAACCTACAGATGAGTTTTATGATGCAGTAAGGGAAGCTATTGATTCACGAAATATCATAAAGTTAAAGGAAGTTACTGAAAGGTTTGGTCAATTTATTCCCAAATGCATCGAATTTGGTGGTAGACTTAGCATAGTTGAAAAATCACGAATATCTCAGGGGCAAAACACCAGGAGGACAACTATGGAAGGCCAAGATATGGTAAAATTCCAGCAAGATATAGTCAGAACTAATAAAGAGGAAACGCATAGAAAGTTTATTGATCCGATCGGCGGAAGCAACTTATTATATGATAGTGATGAATCAATCTCTGCGTGGATAAAATCCTTAGACGATTTTGAGCTTTGGAAGGAAATTGAATTTTTAAAACCCATGAGTATATTTCGAATACTTGACGAAAAAACACAAAAGGAAATTAAGGAAATAATAGGAAAAGGAATTATTTATATCGATCAGGATAAATTTGAGTATGAATTTAGAAATGTTCACCGTAATTTTGAAAGAGAGTTAAAAATTCCAAGAGAGATTCAATTAGGCGAATCCTCAGATAATCAAATTTTCGTATCCGTTTGTAATATGGAAGATAACGATGATGCCTTTACTTGCAGTGTATTTTGTCCATCACCCCATAACCAACCAAAAATAGTAATCAGCTGCAATTCCAGCAGGCGTCGCAAATGTCATTGCAAGGTCGGCTGCATAATAGTTGGATATCCCAACTTTGATTCGATCTTTTCTGATTTTGACATCCGAGTTCACAGCTCACGGGATATTTTTGATACTGGGAATTTACTCAAAAAATGTCAAATCATATCAGATCCACATAATCAAAATACACACAAATCTTCGCTTAATGGTTTTAACTGTTTCATTGGAGTACCTGTAACGAACCAATATCATACAGATTTGGTGGTTGGTCATTATTTTTGTCGATGCAGAGATGGACAAAATTTGGAAGCACATATTTGTGGATATGACTTGAGAGAAAAAAAGTATCGTACGTTAGATGATAATTTTACTCTTAATGTTCTTTCCATTCAAGACTATCCGAATTTAGAAAATTTTCGACCATGCCCAGAAGAGAATAAAAGTTTAATGGATATTCTTAGAGAAATGTTCCATTTGGAAAAAAAAAATAAAATAAACAAAGAAAATTTCCCAAATTTCTTCAGTTTGTACTCGGACATTCACGTAGAATGTGTTCCAAGAATAGTTTTTCAAAAACTAAATGAGCCCTTTATAAAAAGATTGAAATGTAAATGTGGAAGAATCAAAGAATGCTTGTGTCAAATCTATTCTCAAAATTGTGACGAATTTTCCACAGTGTGTTTCAATCCCACGAAAAATTCTTAAGGTACAAGTTTACAAAATATAATTTATTTATATATAAAATTTAATGATAAAGTGATTTTTTATAATTAGATTTATTTTATTTTATTTATCATTACATTCCATACAGTATTATAATATCAAAGCGATTTTATAATTAGTTATCATTACATTCCATACAGTATTATAGTAACAGAAAGATGTCATATTATTTCAATATACGTACAGTACAGTATACGTATGTATGTATTTAGTGTTGATATTAATAAAATTCCTAAGGGAACCTGTTTATATGCACCCAGCCAAGTTAATACATAATCTGTTAAATAGATTCCAGTACTGTAGTTATGCATGAGATCGTTGTCTAAATTTCACACCATTTGATTTATCGAAAAAAAATAATAATGAAAATTCATTGTTTATTCATATGTGGATTATAATCGCGATCCACTCCATAAAAGGTTTCTTTGTTGGCAGGCAATAAAGTCAACTGATAAGAAACCAACTGCTTATTAACTACCATGGAAAGACAAAATTAAGTACTCTTTCAGATTGACAAAGCTCATTTACAAGCTAAGAGCTTTATATCTGATGGAATATTGATGCAAGCTAAAGTGTCATAGCAACCAGGACAAAGTCACGGGTGACATATTATCATACAATAGTGCATTACATAATATAACAAGTGTTAGGTGTTGTGGTAATTAAATTTTCTTTCAGTTGTATTCGAAAAACTTTGTTTTATGGGTTAGGAGAGCTTCTCAACGCTAAAAATTTTAAGCAACGTGTCGGCCGTGTAAACCTTACAACATCATTAAAATCTAAGAAATGGCTGTGTACATTCCACACCAGTTGCTAAACCAGATAGAAGGTTATACCTCATGTTTTAATAAATATACTATTTATTTTTGATATTTCAATTATGCTCTCGAGGAAGAATAATTCCATTAATAGTTGTATATTGGTAATAAACATTTTTTCTTTAGTATTTTCACAGCGTAATGTCACTTTATAAATATATTGTTTGCATGCCTTTTGCTAGTGCATAGCAATTATACAGGAATAAGTTAAATAGGGTAATAAATAATAAATGATTATGTCATAATTTTGCATGGTCTCTTCGTACATGTTTCCTTCTGAGTAGTAAAATGAAGAATCTACTTTGCAGTAATTGATATTGGTTTTTGCATATCTAATGATCATGGTTTTCGAAACATGTGTTAGTAAAAAAAAAAATTGTTTTTTAAAATCCCATCTAATATTTTACCTGAAAGCTCGACTTCACTTGCAAGCTCTTTAGCTGTTGGTTTATAAATCTCTACTGGTATTCTTGAAAGCAAAACTTTTGCAAATTTATTCGTGAGGTTCAGTTCTTGGCGAAGGTTAATCGAAGATTCATATGAATCGTAAAGGTGCTTTTTGGCAATTACATTTCCCTGAATACTGGCTTTCATTATCCAATCAAAGGCCTTTCTTAAATCTTTGGCCCTTCCGATTCCTTTCTCGCAACACAATCCAGCCATGAATTGTGCATGTGCATACCCTGATTCTGCCGCGCTCGCATAAAGAGAATAGGCTCTGATATGATCTTTTTCAGTACCCAATCCATTTCCAATCAACCACGCAAGACGACACTTGTCATTAGCATTATATTTATTTGAATACCACTCAACTAGTGATGTCCAATTTTCAAAATCAATATTAACTCCTTCATAATAACATTTTCGATACCAGCGATAAGCTCGGTTCATATCTTTGGTCACGTTTTGGCCGTTAGCATAGTAGGTTGCGACCAATTTCATTGACATCTTATCACCGATTTCTGCTTTTTGAAGAATTTCAGAAAAATTGTTGTCCACTTTTCCTGAAATATCTCCTGATCCTTGATTAATATCAATTTTTCCTGAAACAACTCTTCCTATTCCTAGAACAATATCTATTGTATTTAGATCATGTCGGGCTAGTAGACATCAATCATAGTATGTCAGTCATAAGATTCATTTTGTTATAAAATATTTTGAAGTGTTAAAAGTGTCATTGTTACCTGTAATTAGTAATTTATCCGATATATCTAATAAAATAAAATAATTAAGCAATTTGAAACTAAAAAATCATCAATTTAGAATAATAAAAGATTAGAATACTTACATTGAATGCTTATAAACTTACTGGTGTATAAATGACGAGTATCACATTCACTAGATTCCAACAATTCTATTTCTGAAGATCGAAAACGGTTATCTGCATTTTCAAATTCAAGATTATCCTTCCCTTTCCATTTGAATAAAGTATGCATTATAATTTCTGTCGTAGGGCGATTTACTGGATTCGTATCCCAGCATCGACGAATTAAATCTGCGTAACATTTAGGCGTATCTTTGGGAATTTCTGGTCGTAATCCGCTAAAGACACTCAATGGGATGTCACTGGCATTCATATCTTGATAAGGTTTATGACCCGAAGCTAACTGCCATAGTATAATCCCAAACGAATATATGTCCGATGCCATGGTATATTTTTTTTCTCGTAGTAACTCAGGAGCCATAAACATAATTACGCCACATAATTCATCATTGATTTCACTGTCAGCGGAGTGAGTTTGACCAAAATCTCCGATATACGTTAATGTCGAATCACAAAAAATATTTCCCGGATGAAGATCCGAATGAATTAGCCCATTCAGGTGAATCCCATGCAATCCAATTATGATGTCCAGTGAAATGTTTAGCTTATCTTTCCAATTTAATCTATGAAAATTTTGTGACAGAAAATGGTCCAGGTCATTCTCTTTTGCGTGATGTAAAGAAAGTATAAAGGATTGAGAATCGGGAGTCTGTGATATTCCGTAGCAATCAACAATTCCCCAGAATCCATTAAAAATCATATGTGTTTTCAGCTAAAGGATTAAAGTAACTCGTGTGAATGATTAATTTAATATATCCTGAAGCATAATAAAGTTAATTGATTTTACCTCCCTGAGAAAAGCATTCACATCGCAAGAATTTAAGAACTTCATAACTACATTAGATTCACTTTCACTTTTAACCACAAATCTTTTATCGCTTGTTAATTGATTGTTTTCTAATATAGCTGAATATATTTTACTAAATCCACCTTTTGCCATAAGGTTAATGTTCCTAAACGACCCAAATGGATTCCAACAAATTGGTATCCTCCCTGTAACAGAAAATTCCTGCTGGCTGTTCCTCAAAAGTAGATCAATATCTGAATTTCCACTCGATTCTTCAAATACAGCGCGACTTGTTGAATATTTTCTTTTAAGATATGAATCCCCCTTTATCCAAGAATTATTTATCACGCTTTGTATTGTGCTTCTATTCTGCGGTTTTTTTGCAAGCATTTTTTGAAGAAGAACTTTACACTCAAAGCTTATATCATCGTTTAGAACCAAAGAGGCGGTAATTATCTGATAGTAATTATCAAATGGAATTTTTCCGTGAAGCATTAAGTAAAGTAGTATTCCTAATGTCCAAACATTCGACTTCGGAAGTTCGTATTTATGTCCAATAATTCTTTCTGGAGAAAAATCTACAATTAAATGATTTTTTTTTTTTTTTATCTATATCTAAAATTAATTGTAAAATTTTATAAATTAAAATTCATACATGCAATATCATCAATGTCATCTATGTTGAAATTAAATTTCAAATCTTCTGGAAGTTGAGAACCTATTATCACGTCATCCAATAATAAAATTTTAACCTACAAGGCATGCGCGTGAAACAAGATTCATTGTTATTTAGGTATCTCTTAAACATCAATAGTAATTCACAGAGTAATACAGTGTGACTCACTTTTCTTAGGTTTTCACTGACCAAGATGGCTTCATCGGATACAATTATATTTGAATATTCATGTGTGTTTAGAAAAACAATGCATTCCGAAATTTGTCTTAAAATATTTTTTGCCTGATCTTCTTTCAATCTGCCATTAGTTTTAATATAATCAGATAGTGTTTGCCAATTTGATGATGGTGAAGGTTGTCCGGAATTCGAGGTATTTTGATCGTCGACTTTTGTAAAAATAACGATGAGTTCTTGCGTTTCAATAAATTTTAAGTATGATACTATATTTGTGTGCTGCAATTCACTTAGGATTTGAATTTCTACGGGGATTTTTGCATCAGGGTTATTAGATGCCATTAAATTGGTTTTAAAAATTATTTTAATGGCCAATAAATCATTGTCTGATTTTGCCAGCATCCACGCGCTATTTGCGCCAAGCCAGATAATTTTTTCCTTTTTGACACAAAACCCGGAGTCCGCACACCCCTTGAGGATTAAACTATTGTGATAAACGAAAGAAAGTTCTTTTCCATAGTTATCACGACCAAGTACATCTCCAAAATATTTAACTTCGATATACTCTTTAGAGCCGTCAATAAAGTTTTCTTCGCCACTATTAGGAAATACAACACAAGCATTCAATTGTGCATACTGTATTTCATCATCAACAAATTTATCTTCCGTTTGATGGATATATGTTATTTCGAATTGAATTAAGTAATAATACCATTTTTTCAACCTAACCGTAAAATTGGGTTCGTGGTTTGTAGATGGATACTTAAAATAAGATGACGTTGTGCATCCTTCTACCAAAGGAGTGGGAAATTTGAAATAGACTGAATATACTGGATTCTTTTTAGAAGGTAGCTTTACCTTCATCTTCTGGAACACTGCGTTTCTTTCACGATGATTTTTACTGAATACAAATAGTTCAGAAGGTTTTCCCACAACCATCCATAAAATTCGACTTTTTTTTTTTTGTAAAATGTAAATAAAAATATTAAAATCGGATATAAAATTAGGAAAGACGTATGAGATATAAATACAAATATACTACTCACAATTTAATATCATTTTTTCCTGCAGTGATAAATGCAGAAAAACCATAATAATCAAATAGCCTAAACTTCACCACAAAGTCTTCCAACATGGTATAATTTTCATCTACTATCGAACCGTATATTTCAAAATTGTCATCCTCCAAAAACTCATCAAAATTAACTCGAAAGTGTTGCTCGCAGTTACTTTCTTTGCGAAAGATTTCTGGGGTCAATCCGGTCATCAAAATTCTTTCGTTGAAACGATTTTTCAATATAATATCTATCTTTCTTTGACGTTCATGATCCAAAATCTTGTATAATGGAATGATTTTATCCCAGCAGATAACTTCCCACGATAGACAATCATCGCGGTAATTTCTAAACCAATTAGATACAGTATCTTACTGATTTCTATCTTTTGTTGATCGGATGATTTAAAATATTCTAAACTACCAGGGAATTGTGAAAGGAAACTTTCAACATCTTTCTGAGATTCCATTTCCACATTCTTTGATAAAATATTTTCGCTCGGAAGATTGTAGTTAAAATTCTGAAAGACTCTTCTACCTAACACAATCCTTTGTGGGAAAATATGTCCAAACCTTTCAAATACGCTTTGAAGAGCTTGGTATGGTCGTATGTTTTCCAATGCATCATCCACTGCCTTTTCAAATTCAACGACTGCTTCAAAGGATTCTGGCTGAATGCTAATTTCTACAGCTTCGTATTCAAATATGCAACAAATCTTGTTTAATTCATCAGCGTTAAGAATTGGGCTTCTACTCATCTTGTTAAAGATATTATCTTGTTTAATAAATGGTATCTCGTTTAGATCCACTGTAGAATAATTGATACAATTGGAGAACAGATACTCATCTATATTGGTGACGAAGCTTATAATTCGTGCATTCAATTCTTTCTTCTTTGAAGAAACCTTAATGTTTCGTGTAAAGTTGACGACACGTTCTTTGCTAAATGAAGTATTAAGTGAATTGATCTGCATGCCACGACATATCTGAAACTGTTCTATCCATGTGAGCAAGTTGATTGCAGGCGTATCGCCAACCCAATCTTTTAATTTAAATTCCGTGAACAGCGATGGTAAGCCAGGCACTAGCCTCGTAACAAAATCATCATTTTTGAGATCCTTTTTAACGAGACTAGTGATCGGTCTCACTTCCTCATAGGATATAACTTCCACTAAACTCTCTTGATATAAACCCTCAAACCATTGCATTAATTTTTGAGGTGTCCGTAGGATTTTCTTATCTGTTTCAATTAATGGAAAGTTATGCGTCTCAACATCTCTAAACAAATTTTCTTTTGATGACCGCGACGTTTCTAAAGCCCATACTATATGTGCCTTCAGTCTTTCTACTTGTGATTTTGTCAAATCAGCAAAATTTCGAATGTAAATCTTACCGCCGACAAGTAATTTTCGAACAATAAAATGTCCATACATTTGACATAAGGATGGGTCAAATGAGTGATTACAATTGCTCAGTACATTTTTAAAGGCAATATCCATTGTCCCATCATAGGTGATCTCAGCTATTGGAAATAGAATACATGCATCCGATTCTGAAAGAGTAAAATCTGCCTCTTCTTCTTCAACCGTAGCGAAAAGATCAAAATAAGTATCTCTTAATAATCTCCAAGATTTAAATTCCTTTGCACCGCTAGTTTCATTATTAGTGACCACATAAACTAATGGTTCTCCTGTATACTCTTTGATGTCTAGCTTTCCATCGTCACTATGAACGGGTTTCCTACTTAATTTGAAATCTTTATCGGTATAGAACAATCCATAATTTAATTTCCACCCTTGAACTATACTTATATGATCCATTACGTGTAATACTGTGAGTGTATTGCAAACAAAATACAGTAGAGACATACAATATATATATTTAATCGTATCACGCCATTCGTATTTGCTCAAAATACTGATTGGCCAATACAGTATCAGGAGCTTGTTGATCAGATTTTTTATACCCTCAAGATCCATTCGTTACTTCTCATCAAGAAAAAGCATGCGATATTGTTCAGTTTCATCGTAAAATAAAATAATCTTACAAATAATATAAACAATTCCATAAACTTGTTTACATACTGTATTTGAATATCTATTTTCGATAAATATTTTCTTGTTTCGTAAATAAAGTTTACAATTATAATTTCAGTTTGTTACGATATAATTAAAATATATATCTATGTACTGGTAAGTGCCTATTACTTCGTCAACAGTGTAGTATACAGTATTATAAAAAAAAAAAGAAAAAGAATATTTATGAACTTTGCGATTTTTTGTTACATGTATACACAGCGTTGAAATTAAAGAAGTGCACGTGATCTATGATGTATGAAAATAATTAAATTAATTAAATTGTAATTTTTATATAGTAAAAAGTTTCGCAAAAAAAAGAAATTTTTTTATTTAAAAAAATGCAATCACATATATATGTAATTGTTATTTAATTTATTAAACATCTTGAATTGATCATATTTTACTATTTACTTTTAACAATAGAAGATTTTTCAAGATACATTAGATATATGAAAAATAATATTTATGTCCATATATTTTTATTCTTCTGATTTATATTTCTTTGCAACTTATTTTTTTATAATCAAAAAACTTTTTTTTATAATTGATTATTTAAAAATAAATGTTTTAAGCTTTTGTTTATTATTCAATATCAATATGATTTCATATTTGTATAAAACTTTAATATTGCCTCTTCAAAAACTGAATATTGAATATTAAAATATTCTTCTTTAATCAATTTTCTAACTTTGAATATTCCTTTTATTAACAAATCAAAATAAGTACTAATATTATTAAAATTTATAAATTTATTAATAAATTATTAGCTGCTTTTAAAATATATCTAAACATTTTATCAAATAATTAACTTTATTAAGTTCAATTGTTTAATTGATAAAATATTATAACTTATATATATATTGTTTATAATAATATATAATTTGATTTAAAAAAATAAATAAATTTATAACTAATAATATAATAATCAATTCTTTTATATTGTTTTTTCAAATATTAAATTTAATTTAAAAAAAAACAATTTTTTTTCTAATTGACATATACTGTATCTTGTTTTACAAGGTTTTATATGTAGTATGTTCATATTATACAAATCTTCCACTGCTATTTTCCAAATATAACTACTTAAAATTCAAATTAACCTTATCTACTAATTAACTTATTGCTAATATGTCAAGATATGCACCTTCCAGTTCTATTTACCATTCAATAAATAAAAACTCAAAAAACTGTATCTTAATACAATTAGCTATAAATTAATTATATCCAGCAAAAAGCATTTTGCAACTTTAATTAAATTCCAAAAATTATTATTACTTTTATAGTCTCATGGACTCTAAAAGGAGAAGTAAACTTTTATAAGAAACTAAGAACTTTTCAAACTTGATAATGATTATCATAATGCCACATGGATGATTGTTACATCATCTTGCCTTCATAATATCACAATTTTAATATCTATTGAATCAGCATAAGAATAGCTTCATATGAAAAACAATACTAAGTTAACTATAACAATAAATGTTCAATTTTGATCAGTTCAATTTATCTTCTTTTGAAATTTAACTTGATATTTTGTGATCTGATCTGTAGAGCACTAATTACTGCACTATAAACTCATAGGGCAAAAAACAAATTGAATTAATTAATAAAAATATTTATTACTATAACTTGTCAAATAATATTTTTTATATAATACTGTTTTTTTTTTACACTAGTTGGGTCTTGCCCTTTATACTTTATTATTAATTTCAAGTTTTTTTTTTTTTGCGAGGCACTTCTCAAATTGTAATCTTTATTAATTATTGATTCAATTTTTACAGAGAGAAAACTTAGTATAAAATTTACAACAATAGTGATACATTGAAATATGTTGCTATAAACATCGACCTGCCTATAAGTAAATATATTCTATAAAAACCTTAGTTTGGCAAAATTTTAAAAGTAACTATTTACTGAGTTAGGGGGTCAGTGCCTCCCTAATAATTTAGTTTTTCATCCAGATCTGATGAAAATAAG